ATTAGATGCAGCTAAAATTGAGCATGCTCCCGGCATTTAAATAAGGCAGTTTTCAGATAATATGTTCAAGTTTCAATACCGAGCTTGTGCCCATCGTTTCCAATCGTCTGATGAATACTCCGATGAGTGCAGCTCTGTTTAATCAATACTTTCTAAATTACGGCTTTATTGAACAGATACAATATTTACCCAATGCAATTGAATTGAAGCATCGAGGCAACGCATTCAGTATCGTAAAGCAAGGTAAGTCAAAAATCGATTGGGAGCAAATTTTGGTTTAAATTCATACTTGAATTACTACAACGCTTAGAGTGGAGATGGAACACGCAGGTGTTATTATATTTACATTTCTCACATTTCATTAATTCCATTCAGGTCTTGATAGACTCAACGACTTTCGATTACCGTTCCCATCACCACCAATAACAGTGGATAGTCCGGAAAACCGAGCAATGCTTGAATTCACGATGTCCAACTATACGCTAGCTAGTTTGCTTTACTGGATGGATCAGTATCGGAATTTTGATTATGAAATAAGTAAAGAAAGCATCAATAATACACTTATGGTCGGGTATCTAAGGACCGAATGTAGCTCCAATGATATTTGTGCTGGCACTCTGTTTCCCGGTAAGTCTGTAGAGAATTTACTAGTCAGTTGCTTGATTTCTGTTAGTCTGGTATTTTAAATACCTTCAAATTAGAATTAATGGTGCTGATTACTTTTATTAACTAATATATTTTGGTACTGAGTTTTTCGTAATGTCAGTAGTAGTTCAGGTATAACGAGCTGTGTCCGGGAATCTTTGAAGTTCAAAACTCTTTTATTTCCTAGTTTCACTCTTTGTAGTCGACTGAAATCATATTTTTCCGACAAGTATAGGTTTAGGTTTCAGCTTTAAGTGTTCAGTATCCGGATGGTATGGTGCAAATTAAATCGCATACAACTACTCCTCCGACAGTCCGTTTTGAACAGAATAAAGGCGTAATTGTGATTTGGAGTCAAGTAGATGCTTTCGTACAAGTAAGTTTCTAAAACTAATACTTATTACGATGTCAACTTACTGTCTTGTTATAATTTTTCAGAAATTCTGATCCATTCAGCCTTTACAAATTTTAAGAATTCTTTCAGTCACGGCTTACTTTGAGAGAGAGAAAATTACTTCCATAAGAGAAGGAAGAATGGTGCAGATATGCTTCAAAACTGAATGTTAAATCTGTTAGGAGATATGAGTTTATCTACTGTACTAACAAGCTTTCGAAAATTGCAGCAAGGTGAACAAACACGTCCATTCCTAACATCCAATATGATGGCCGAATTGAAACTCGAAAAAAGCATTTTCCAAAACTATTCGCTTACTTCGCAGATGCGTATCGATAAATTCAAAATCTCTGATGTCATAAGTCTGATCGACGGCATTGATAAGACTAGCCTGGAATTTCTTGTCAGTGCTCTTAATGAATTATTGATTGGCGATGATATAGCAAAGAAACTCAGTGACGGTAAAACTGATAACGATTTTTCTGAATTTTAGATGTGTTATACCCGAAGCATATCTGTATGAAGATTTCTCGAATGAAGATGAATTTAGTTTGTGCAACATTTCTCACAATGAGCTTTTCCTTGATGAAAGCAGAACGCTTCATTTGTGGAAAAATATCTGAACATACTTTAAATATTTTTATTCGTTTTCAGGCATAAAATTGCCCATTTTATTCGATTTTACGCAAAAATCAGCAGACGTTATATTTGAAAAGGATCGAATGAGGATAGCAGTCGATTTTTGCTTCGATCAGGATTGTTCTAATAATTCGATTGCAGAAAGCAACGATTTCGACTATTACGATAGTGTTAACTCAACATCAGCGTTGTTGTAATAGGTTTGAAAATGAAATGACCATCAAGTCTGCCGTTTGATTTGTGTCTTGACTCTGAAATGTTACCCGAAATTCAATTTTTAATTGCTTTAGACTGAACACGTCTTATTATTGTTTCTCAACCTAATAATTAAGTCTGATTTACAGTGGACGGATTGATTGGCAAAGTCAATCAGTTAATAATTAGCTTTAATGAATAATACTATGGGAATGTAACAGTTGAAATTCCCGAAGAACATTAATCACTATGAATTGGATTTGTTGCAACATCTTTGCTAGGAGACTTGCTTATTTATACCGGTATAATGTCGAGCTATTTATTGCAACACATAGTCATTTCTTTTAAAAAACGAAATTAAATTTTTTCTAACGGAACAGGTACAGTTTTAAGAAGGCATTAAATGAAGTTAAATTAATTGATTTGAAAAGCTGTGGTTTAAATGATAGATACATGAAAATATTCCCACATTTTTTGTAACCTACAATTCAGTGATGAAAATACATGTAGACCAATAAACTGGTATTCTTGTTATGAAACTGAAGATATATGAAGCAAACTTTAAATTTCTTTTTGTTGATTTTAAAAGTGAGAGAGAAGAGGATGGTAAAATATGCCGCTGAATTCTGAGATCTAAAACTACGTGTTTGAATTCATCCCGGATTTTAGGCAGGCATATCTTACCATTGGCTCTAACTTCCAGCTTGATAAAGTGAGCTTTGCTCCATTGCATATTGTTCTCATTTTGGATGCTATTATCATCCACGTTCTTTTGTTAAAGCACTTTGTACAGTACTCAGAATAAAGCATGCAGTCTAGTCTCTCTTAATTGAATTCATTCATTCACTTTATTTGATTGTTTGTTTGTTTGTTCTACCACTTCTTAAAACATTTCAAAATCTTCGAAATGTATTCAAATGATTTAGCATTGTGCATTATGAAGCAGCTTATTCCATAATCTTCACTGCTCATCATATATATAATATATACGTGGAACAATGATTTCTTACTGTTTAGACAAATGATGTCCACGATTTACCAAACCAATACCCTTTTAAGAGCTGTAAATTTGAAGTTCACTATTACTATGGCAAACTTCTCCAAGCTCTAATGCTACTGGAATATTTGCATATCTGACAGCCTTTTTTTAAGTATGGAAAGCAAAAAGTTTCTTGAAATACTTGTGAATTTAAGGTACAGCTGTTCAAGTTCTTAAAGTTTCCACTTATCATTATAAATTTACCGCCTATAATTGGTATCCTGTTAAAATTTATAAAGAGATAGTTTTTTTTTAGTTTGAAAATAATGTCAATTTAAGTGAAGAAGGAAAAGATGGGATATGGGAAGTCACATGGTGAGTCGATTTCTTTTGCAAAGTTATTCTCTTGCTTTTTATTTATAGTTTGGTTGATTTAGTACTCTGAGTCCAGTTTTTGATTATTCAACTAAGTAAATCTAATCAAACAATTCGTAATCTGGTTTGACCCGAAATCAATACGAGTCCGGAGTGGTATTTTATATTCTTTTTACAGAATATCGCAATCAATTGTTTTTTGCTATCAACCTTTCCTTTTTATGTTATATTTCTGTAAATTCACCGAAGCCTTCAGGTCATAATACAATGTTGAAAAGTTATGGCGATCCTTCCTACATACATCTTTTATAAATCATAAAACTCACTGTCAACAATAGTGTAACGATGACCTGAAAGCTTTAAATCTATATTTCATGTCACAAGAATTTTATTTCATGATTAAGCAGCAAGCTCAGATTTCGTATAACTAGACTAAGAGAACTGTGAGATAATTTGGTACCACTGAGCATTTTGAATGACAACATTCTTTAATAAAATGTAAGAATTAGTAGAATTTAGCTAGTGCTGCGCAGTGAGGAACAGAACTGAAATACTGCAAAACGATATTTCACTTTATTAAGGGTCGCGAAGGAACCTGTTGGGTAGAGCAATCTTGTTATCTATCTGGATTTAAGGTAAGCGGCGACGCATTGCTATGTTTCAAGAGATTAAGGACCGTCAAAAGTTGGGAAGAAAACCGTTATTAGCAATTAAAAAAAGTAATAGAAATCGATGAGATGGTTGGTCAATGATCAGTGTGCTGGAGATTAGTGAAATGGTCAATTAATGTGATTAGTGTGATGAAGATCAGTGAAAGCTCTTCTCGATTACCATTCAACGTCTTCTCGGGTCATTCTTATACTGGGCCGGTAAATGATTCATGTTAGTTAAAAAGTAATTCGATCAGACGTTTCAGTCTTTGTTCTAGTTAAAAATTACTGGAAGGCAAGGTTCCGCAAAGTGAATTTGTTCAGCAGTTCTCTCCTGTCATTCATCCGTATTTGTATTTGACACGAAGGACATCTATCTGACTTTTGCACTATTTCATATACACCACCAACAGAACGTAATGTATAACATACACCTTGATTTGCTATGATGATTCTAGAAACTTCTGGAATAAATTGAATAGCTTAAAATCGGAAGAGGCATTCCACGCCTGATAAATATTTATTTTTGGTAAGGCCATTGAACATGGAAAACACAATTCCAAAGATCTATTTCTTAGTTGGTAACCATCTGGCACTGGCCTCAATACCCGAATGTCGTTTATTTCGGTATTTTATATCGAATCGATATTCTATAGGCTGATAATATTTTGTCACTGTAGTAATAATAAATTATTTGATTTACCTCAGCAACTCTATCATTAAACTATACAACCACCAGCATTGCTGTATGGAAGGAAGTAATTATCTTCTTCTGTGGTCACAGTTCAGTACCTTACTTTTTGTAAAATCATCTCGCAAAACATTTCGGGATTGAAGCAGTGGCTTACAGTTGTAAGTAGCGCTTTTCCGCTCTTCTCGTTGCCTTACACATTCAGGCAATAACCGCAGGAAAGCAGCACGCAATTGCAAGTTTAGAGCTGCATAAAGCAATGGATTCCATACCTGTAATGTTCAAATATTTTTGACAAATCGTAAAAATAGTTAAGGAGTTCAGCAATTTTAAAACAAAAATTCCATGAAGGTCCAAAATATTTAGCATATCTCTAAAATTCAATAATCCGGTTCGTATTTAGTTAGTAAGATTTCATCCAGCATTTCGTTCTATGATTAAAAATGATTCTGTTTGTAACGCCGACAGAAAGACACTGACAGTTGAGGACATGGCGATGCAATGCGTTGCAATCCCAAAAAAGTATTCCTGATCTTGACACCATTCCGGCAAACAATCGTAGTCCCTGAGAACGTTAAATAATACGCTGAAGAACCAGCTTGCAGAAAATGCAACCACCATTCCAATTAGCATACGATTTGTCCGTTGTCTGCGTTTTATGGCTGCCCGCTGCTAAAAATGCCGTGACCTGATATTTGTTGTTGGCTAATTGGAATGGTGCCTATGGCCAAGGTTTTTGCTATATTCCTTTTAAAGCTTAATAAACAACAGGAAGTGAGATAGCAGCTAGGTTTTGCTATTATCTCTTCCTTTTTTTCCAACTCTCATTATGAATAATGAGGTCACTCTTTCTTTTTTCCGCTTGTAAAACGTAATTATAAATTGAGATTAAGTTATTGCATCAGCCTAATCTCAACAAATTTGCACCTAAACATGTACCACTGTTCCAATTAATTTTAACCATTCCATTCGCAAACACCTGATTCAATCAGAAGAATATTTAAAATTTCATTTGTAAATTATGTGAACAGCAGTATCTTTTTAACAAAAAGTAAATTTTTTCAACCAAAGTTTTCATATGAAATGCATTTTTTGAAAAGATAAGAAAAAATAAACCAGCCTGATCGGTCATTCCTAACTGCCACTCATTATGATGCTTTCTATTTCTTTGTAGTATACCCTGCAATAATTTAATTTAATGTATCACTTCATTTGTTATATGTCTACACTATTTTCATCTTATCGCAAATATCAACAATCAGTAACATCAATAACAAGAAGTTTTCCGCCTCTTTTAAAAGATTTCCTACGAATCATTTATTTTTATGCAAACATATACTTTTTACAGTCATCTCTTGCTGAAAGCAATGGACAATAACGCCACAACTATGAAATATAATTTGGTAAGCAACTGTAAAATGTAGACAAGTACAGTTAGTATCTTTTCACGTGAAATATGCGCAAAAATGTGTCATTTTATCTAAATCGCAATCAATGCACAAAAATCATGTGACAAATACTGCTTAGTATTGAAGCACCAAATAACTAAATAGCATCTACCTTGCCTAATTTGAAAGAAATAGCGGTGTAACAGAAAGTGATGATCACCAGAGGTACAATGAACTGTACGCTGAGCATTATGGAACCATAAACTCGCCTACCACTTTGGTCGATACCCCATTCTTCAGTGCAGAATTGGCCACAGTAATTACCGAATCTTTTAAGCCTTTGTTTGAATATTACGGGCGCTGATAATGAAGTAGATAATATGCATATCACCTGTGAAATTAATTATGTTTAAGCATTAATTTGAGCAAAATATGCTGGTGTAGCAATTTTCTCGTACATTTATTGCTATTCCTTAAGATTAGAGTCTCTGAGAAGTTTAAAATTTAAAAAGAATTTCTGAAAAAACAAAAAATAACAATTTGAATTAAAAATAATTGGGAACTTCAACGTAAACGTGGAAATTTATGAAGCAAGCAACAAATTCGTTTATTTCGACAATTTCTGTTATTTTATATTTCACTCTAGAATATACTAATAGAGCATTTAGCATTTTGCAATTTAATGAAGTATTGATCTGTTGATATGTTACATCTAATGATTGAGTAATTTTACTGGAGCAAATGATTTCCCAACATTTCATACTTTTTTTTATCTCTTTAATGAAGTCTTTCAAAGTATTTGCTGACAAGCAGTAAGCTAGCAATTCAATTTGTTTAAAAATTGGAAAAAAAAAAAACTTGTAGCATCCCACTCACCATAATTACGATTAATGCCTGCAGCCTGGACAAAGTTTTTCTAGTTGGAAAATAGATGAGCAAAAAACGATCCACTGAGATTGCTGAGAGGGTAAACGTGGAGAAGCATAGTGAAGCGCCCTAAAAATTTACCCTTTTCCATTTCAAGATATCTTTTCGAAACTTCAGGAGAAGTATATACACATTCATATTTATGTGTTATGGAAATATGCGGAACAGTTCTTGAAGGATCAAAAAAATATTGAGTTTCTGATGATATCCAAGCCATATTAGATATTCAAATACTTTAAAATCACTTCCTACTATGAAAATGTAATTTGTCAAAAAAAGGATGTACGAAAGCAACATATCGAAAAGTGATTCTGTTGAAGAAGTCATGAGGAAATTCTCAGAAAAAACGAAGAACGTATAAAAGTCTGTCACAGTGAAAGGAATGTCGTATAAATGTCCAATTCAAATTTTTCCTGGATTTGAGTTTGTTTCGTGATATTAATTTTATTTTGGTTTTAAAGCTTTCCTATGATTCCATACGTTGCAATACTAGAAGCTCCCATTTCCACTCAATAACATTTGTTGTTGTTTCCATTCGATCTTTCTCCAATTCTGACAATAATTTAAATCGGAACTCTGGACTGTTTCGACGAGTGAGATCAATTAATTATGAGAAGAAGATAATATTACCAAAAACCATAACTTCTTCAGAAAAAAGAAACTAACAGCAATAAAGGGTGCTATGGAGCATAGCACAGCACCAAAAATCCATTCTTTTTTGAATGCTGCGATCGGTGTTATTGTTGCTGAAGTAAAGCATACAACAAGGTCTGAACAACTCAACGAAAAAATGAACATATTGGGTACTGTTTGTAGCGTCCTGAAATATTAAACAGGTAAGATCTGATTAATTTACTGATAGTTAATATGCCACTATCACTTCTAGATCAACAAATGTCAACTTATTAAATCATCAAAGTATCGAATCTTACTGGGCAATAAATGCAGATATTTCTCCGTTATTGTAATTATAATTAATCATTGTTTCTTTGTGTTTACGTTAACAGATTAGATTATAATAACAAAATATGGATAATTGAATTCCAATCACTTGTTGAAAAAAATTTTTCCAATGTGAATACCAGTGTATCTACTAAGATCTAAGGTTTTTAGCTCAAATGACCTGGTGCAGTGCGACCTTTTTTGTAGCTGAAATTATGTGTAATTACTTTCTTGATAAGAACGGATATTTTGCATTTATAGTGCTGGCTATTCGCCTGATCAGACCATATGGTTTTTTTTGAAGTCCACATCCAAATTTTCAAATCGATAGGTTATTATTAAGGAACAGGTGTGAGAAAATAGAGCAATACCTAGTCCTGGATATGGCCAATATGACGCATAGGTTGCCTATGATACCAATAAGGATAATTGCTGCATAAAAAAAAACGAAGATGAATATGGTAGATGACTGAGTGCTCCAATCGCGCCTATTCCGCCATAGTTCTGCATTCATGTCCAGGCAGGTATTATTATTGTACATTTTGCGAAAAACTCAGTTGTCACCTAAATATTAAAGAAGGAAATCATACTTAAAGCATCTTATATCAATTCTCTTCAAAAACGTGCATTGCATCAACAGATACATTCCTCATCAAAATGAACATTGATTTGATATTTAGGGTATGAAATTAAATTGATGAAGTACTTCTGACTAAACTGTAAGGATGATTTTTGCACTTATATGTTCAGACATTTTACTATGAAAGAACAAATCGAAGATAGGAAAAGTTCATAAAAATTTAAATTTTCCGATCAAAAGTACCAAAAATTTCCACTTAAAGATTTGAATTTAAATGTTCACAGAATTTATCAGAGAATTTTTCTTTTTGTATGGCATGCTTTTTGGACATCATGAAAAATATATAAATTTTATTTCAATCAAGTTGTTGTTTTCCCTATTTATATAAATATAAGAGTTAGAAACAAGCAAAATAAGGAAAACTGATATGGAAAGTTTTTCCCATTCTTGTATCCTACAGTTTTCCTTATCCATAGTTTATGTCAACTCGAATTATAATGAAGGAGAAAACTAAATGAATTAATTTCTGTGTTAAATATGACTGATGCGAACCATCAATAAGTAATGCTTTGATAATTTGACGGTTTACGAGCCTATTTCAAGAAGTATCTATTCAGTAGCTAATGTACACATTATAAGATATTTTGGAGTTTTTATGATCCTAATCAGAACCCGATGCAATCAAGATTCAACTGTTTATACTACACAAGCATATTTCCTCTTCCGGTGACATGATGACATTTTTTAATGATACATCAATGACTTGCTCATACTGTATTTCACCATCTTTTGCAACATAAAGGTTAGGTTGTCTGCACAGGAAATATGATCACAGTATAAGCTCAAAATTATCAAACTGATATTAAAGAATTAATCATAGAATACGAGAAAGCAAACTAAGAAAGAGAGAGTATTTTAAGAATTTATTCACATTTTAATCAATAGCACATAATAGTATTCCATTTGTGTTCCATCATCACATTTATGCATTGGCAACTTCAGTCATTTATTTCCTTTTTGATTGAACTGATGAGTTTTGTTAAACTTTCAAAATTTTTTTTATAAATACATCCCACCCTTGACCTTACATCAACTAAACATGTTCTGTCGACAAATGTGCTCATGACCTTATAGGACGATAAATTACAAATGCAAAACGTGAACTTTGCTTAGATAGTTGATGATTTAGTGATGATACTGTGGCATTGTGGTATAAACTGCGTTTCGTTAAGTGAAGTATCAATGAATGGTAGCCCAGATATACGTGATTCTTGAACTTCCTAGTTCATCCATGAACTCGTTATTTTGCTTCATTTGTGTCTGGTGTATCTACTTGTTATCACAATACCAGTATCACTACTAACGAGCTTTTGTTATCTCTTTCGACAACACTGTGTATATACATATTTCTTTTTTAATAAAATTTAACAGAGTAAAAATGAAATAAAAGATGTGAAAGTTATTGAAGAGGAAAGATAACTAGTAGCACTTTTGATATTCAAGACCTTGGACATTTCCTCCTCTTCCATTTCCATCTTTCCTCTTCTCTAAAACAATAAGAAAATGCCCACATGGAGGAATATGGAATAAAATATATTTCAGGAGTAAGCAATAGCTATAAAAATTAATACAAATTTTGATACTGAGGTAAATAAGACTATCATAATTGATAAAAATTATCCTAATTATCGCAGCATCAAAATGGAAGTTGTTAAATGGACAGTTTTGCGGACAGCAATTTCTTAAAATTTATGTGAATTAGAACAAAGCCTAAATTCTCACTTTCTTTAATTTGCTTAGCATGTCATAGAAATCAAAGTGCCGTTTACAACAATAAGGAGAAAAAAGCATTCTGACAAGTTTGGAATAGCCTGAACACTACGATGAATCTATCTTCATCACTAATTTGATCTATAACTTGTTTTTTTTTCCTGAATAATACAAAGAAGGCAATAAAATGTTGAGTGGATGGAATGCTGACTCCCAAATTCCTACTTTACCGATATCCAGAAATCAATGCTCGTTCCCACGGTAACTTTTGAATCAAATCTTTTACATTTATTTCATCATTACTGAAAAAATTATTTTGTTTACGAGAAATCACAAGCCATACTTGCTTTGAAGAAGGCTGAATGTAATCCCTAATGAAAAGCTTTTTGGTTCTCATTGATAAGTGGTGGGCTATGAAGACATATTGAATCAATTACTATCAAGAATATCAACGTGAGATCTTAAAGTATAACGCAGAAATAGTGTAACACAAAACTGAGTATTTAAAATCTAATGTTTCTGATAAGGCAGGCCAATTTCAACGACATTTGCAAATGGGACAATTTTCTTTTGGCCAACAATTCAATTACATGTGTATCCCATTTCTAATAAACATACAGTAGTTGCATATACCTCTAGCAAAAATTTTGCAGCCAGATGAGAATTATCCAGAATTATCCTGGTGAATAATGATAATAGAGACATGCGGTTTTCTAGGATTCTCTGTCTTTTTTACTCATCTGTTTAATATCAGATTATAATTACTCAGGTGAGTTTAAGGTCTTAAGTTAGCATGTAGCTTAGTCCTTTTGAGTATTGTTGAAAAAACAGTGAATCTCCAACTAATGACTTCCAAAAAAAGTTGTTGGGATTTTCTTGTCAACGTGTGAGGTAAAGTATGGTCAAATACATTTTTCTGAACTGACTATTTTTTGACCAAGTCATTGGATCAGGAGTTCGGAAGCCTGGAATATTGTAAGTAAACGACGTTACAAGACAGGATGTCAACAACACAAAAATTATTTCAGGTTGTTAATCTTTTTCTTTTCCTTCCATTACTGATAAACTGGCAAGCGCCTTTTTTCAGGACGAAATTCGGCAGCCTAATAATCCCGTCTTAATGCACTGATTATATTAGTGCAAGGTCTCCTTACTCTTAAATTGGGTTTTAGATTCGGAAAGCTTAATAATGATCATGCACAGTACAAAGATGACGCCTCCGAGTGGCTTGTCATGAACACCCCCTACGTTCAGAGGACTGTCATTCTCGGTACCTTTGAAGATTTTTTGTTGGCGTCTTAGTTGTATAAAATGGGTACGAGCTTCTTCGATCTTAAAATCTAGCTCGATTATGCAAACAGGAAAGATATTACTGCTCTTATTACGTCTAGCTGGAGCAAAAAAAAAGCTAGAGTATGGAGAGGTTAGATAGTGTCGTAGCTTTCAGAACTACGCCAAATTTTTAACAAATTTTAACTTGAAAAAAAAACGAAATAAACAATAACAACTATAGGACAGATATCGAGAATAATACAGAATAACACAGCTTGGCCATTGATCTCCTTCGAATATCAAGGTACTCCTGAAACTTGAATAACACCAACATCGATAACCTTTTGAGTCAGTCTATGGAAATTTCCAGATATTTTGCTTCGTCAATGGTAAGCAATAACTTATCACTATCTTAAAACAACTTCATTGGCTCCATTTTTGTCAAGATTACAATAACTGTAAAAGATCATTCTCAGAAGTGAGCCACGTTTTCTGGTTAAAGCATGTGATGGACAAGTGTTCAGTAACGACAAAATATCTTAGAAATAGTTCCAAGTGGTGCACTATCTACCAGTTGTTTTCCCATATTCATGTAAACAAAGTAAGTTTCTCAAGCACTTAACAATTAGTCTATGTTCAGGCTATTTAGGAAACTTTACTAAACTTTACTCTCTGTCATATGATCCAAGTAATAAGTGGTTCTAATTGGCACTGAGTATGACAGTCATTGAGTATGCAAACAGTAAGCATCTACAAGAATTCTTGAGGTCAGTTAAACATCAGCAAAGATTTTCTAATGATTCATTTTGCTATTTTCTGTTTGAGTTGTTCATTTCGGAGCGCTTTTGCATAAACCAAAGAGCTGATAGAAAAAAAGTGATCAAAATGTTACTCTCTTATTGCTTATTACTCTCGCATATTCCTCCAAATTTTATTGATTTTGGCAATAATACTTTAGTGATTAATGACCATTTTAGTAATTAATATATAATTCTCTTTTCTAATAATTTTAGAATTTTTCAAAGTTTTGCAGTACTTGAATCATTGATATTATGTCGATAAACAAGAAATAAAACGAATGAAAATCTTATCAATTCAATATTACCGACTGCATTGAAAATTTTCCACCAAAACATTTCAGTTTTGTCTCATTGAAAGAGTTGGAATAGTTCTACCGTACTTTCCAACTTTTACATGAATGCTTTTGAGCGGATAGTCTTTAACATTTCGTCAGTATGTCACATTAGGAAATGGCGAGAATTCTGTAAAACTGTAGCATAATTAAGGAGTACTAACAACTCAAAGTCTTAACAACTATGAGTTGGACTATATATAGCTAGAAGAGTTAACTTCTAACTATAGTTAGAAAAGAAAGTGATAAAAGTTCATCCCACGATGATAAGCTAATCAAAACGCTGATCATGGGATGGTGAGTGTAGTAAAGAATTCTTGGAAAAAATCTTGACTTCGTTTTCACAAGCAACAAATAAGTAGAATTTCGCATTAAGTAATTGAATCAGACTTTTATTGTTTTGTGGCAAATAATTACATCATTTAAAGCAGCAAATGTCATGATGAAATTAAAGATCGATAAACTGACACTCATAATCTTATCATTCTATCTGATGGATATTTCCGCATTCCACCCTTTGCTCTAATTTTGTGACAGAATATTACTAACGTTTCGTTCCTTATTTCAATCCTCAGAACTAAAAGTTGAAGACGCAAAATCCTATATTCTGTTATTTATTTTAAGAAGCTAAAAAATTTCGAGCAGGAATGGATGAGCTGTTTATTCCTTCCCTTACTTGCTTCTAAAAAGTAAAAGAATTAAAATAAGTTGACATAATTGAATATATCTTCATAAATAAATTTTCTATTAATGCTTATGCTGAAACATATGTTTGAAATCTTCGTTT